GGTAGTAACAGTATATGTTAATCTTTCTCCTTTAAGAAAGAAAAAGAAAAATCAAGAAGGAAAATCAAAAATAGTGGTATTCCTAAAGGTTTCAGGTACCCGAAGGCAGAAGTGTGATTCAAAAAGAAGAAGTGATTCAAAAGAAGAGTTCTAGATGATCTGATTAGCAACTGGGAAATGGAATGCTTATTCTTGCTTCTACTAAGTATGTGGGACCATGAGACCAAATTTAGGCAGCACATTTCAGTTTCTCTCCAAGGACATGTCTAGAATGTTCTTTTGGATAGGCACTTTTTTAGCATGCCTATCCAAATCCCAGCAAAGCCTAATAAAAGGATTTTTGCAAGGGATGTTATGTCTGTAACTTGTTGGGTACTAATCCTTAACTGATCTTTTCCTCTGTGAGTTTCTTTTTGACATATGTGGTATTCTGTAACAATGTTTCATAATTTAATTATGTACTACTTTAAAAACTACTTCCTGTTTGTTTCTTATCATTCTGTTTCACAATCCTATTTCTTCTGTTGCAATTAGAAGATGAATAGTCATTTCCTTTCACCTCCTCCATGTAACATTAATTTATGTCTGGTGAGAGTTTTTGAAGTGGAATGTCATTGTTAGAAGGGTGTCTTAAAAAAACTTCTTGATTTGTTGAATATTACTAATGCTATGTTTTTAGCCTGCATAGAAAACTCACCTTTTTCAGTTATTTTAACAAACAATTATTCTCTGTACAATGGATTTGTTAGAGAAATTTCCAGGACTTTTGATTCTCTGTGTTTTAATATTTGAGAGTTTGTTTGTGTTCATGATACAATCTCATAAAACAGCTTCTTGTACTTGATCTCTCCAGGATTAAAGGAAAAACAAATTTACTTCCTGAATATTATTATGCTTTTGCAAATGCATATTACAAAAAATTAGGCTTAAATCTGGGGCAGTTGTATTTGAAGAATTTGTGGTAATATTAGAATTCTGAGAATGTACAGACTGTAAGGAAAAATCATCATAAAGCTCAGTAAAGGAAGAAAGATCTAAGGCTGACTTTTGATTTGACCTACCCATGCTTCTACCCACTATCTAAGAAAACTAGGGTGAGTTCTAGACTGAGCTTTATCGGTTTGAAGAGAAATATTTTCCTGTTTCCTGATTTTTTCATTCTGTTTTTCCATGTTCATTTTCAAAAGTTTTGTATGTGACAGTGACAAATGTGGTTACCTCCATGCATAGCATAGGGATAAAGAAAATATGGGTAAAGTCTTCTGTTTGGCAAAGCATTACATCTAAGAAGGTTCTATATACCATCCTTGTTGGCTGGCATCCGACCATAACCACAGTGAGAAGAAAAAAAAGTCACTATGCACTTGCAGATCATTTCTCAAAGGTCTCTTAAAAGCCAGTACCAGAATTCTTGAAGCAGTTCAGTATCTATTTTAAAGTGAAATTTAAATTTATCTCTTGCAAAGGTCTTTATGGTATTTCAGTCAGAATTATCTTTTCAAAAGGATATTCAGTGGCTTCATAAGGGGCTTTTTTTGCTGCTTCCTGGTCAGAAGGGTAATTTTTAATTCTGTTCTAATTTCTTAACAGAAAAAGGCGAAAATAATCTAAATATTGCTCTTGTAGGAACTACTACAGAATTTCTGTGGAGTTGGAATCTAGTTAGTCATATGAAGTTCCATAATAAAATCCAGGCTTTTTATATATTTCCCATATCACAAGCAATTTTAGGTACTTTCAGTTCAAAAATGCAAGCTTCATTCAATCTGAAACATTCATTCAATAAAATTTTCCCCTGATATGAGTCAATAATGTCCTACATGATTTTTGGTCCACATTTTACTGTCTTTGCTTCCAATTAAATGATCTGTGAATACTGGTAATTACACTGCCATCCTTTGCCAAACCACTGAAATATCAGTAAAGGGTCATCATTTAAACTGCTACAAATTAATCACAAAAGCCAACCTTTAACACATCCATACAGTGATTTTAATGCAGAATGGCCCCCGTATGCCTCTTCATTTTTCTTTTTGTGAATTGTAGCTGTATTGCATCACAGGACATTAAGCATATTTCAGCTCATGGGACTGAGTCAGTCATGTTTTTAGAAATTGAAAACAAATGCTACAATAATGTAAATGACAATATTTTAAGCAATAACTGTTTCCTAGTAGGCATGCCTATTTAATATATTCCTTAGGTTTTCAGCTTACAAACATAACAGTACCTTTCATTAGCTGAAATGACAGGTTATTTTTTTAAAGTTCTAAGTTTGAAAGTAACACCAGAAGAGGCAAACCAAAAGGGCAAGAAAGTCAATAACAAAGGTAGAATTAATTTGTGAAATGATTCTTATTAGCGGAATTATCATGGTTAGCAGACAGTTCACAGAGATATTTTTTTTATATGTATTTCAGTGATTTATTAGTGAGAATTCAAACTGCGTGGCTTCCCAGCAGTATATCAGGCTATATTAAGAAGTCTCTGTGATAGAAGAGAAGGAGAAACAGAGGATAAAAATACGATTGTTTCCTGCTTTTATATAATAAGCTATTGTAATTTAGAGTTAAAAGTTATTGGGAAGGCATGTTTCAAAGAGGAAAAGTTGAAATCTTCATGTCATTGATTCCAATTTTATGTGGAAAGGGTAGTCTGATAGACACACGGCTCATTTATAACAGATAGTATTGGAATGTCCTGAATGCCTTAAAATAGTAGAATATCTTGCTGGATAAAATGATCCAGAGACAAGTGTGTCATGAGCCCAGTGAAGCCAAATGCCTTAATAAATGTAGGTTGTCAACCCCTCTATCCTTATCATGAAATTACTGCATAGTAATGTGTTTGAGTCTGGTGTCATGATCCTTACAAACTCTGCATAGACCTGTAAACTAGAAAATATCTTCTGTGCTAGACTGTGTTAGTAAGTATTCCCATTTGAATTTCCTCATTGGAAGAATAAATATATAAATGATAATACAAGACATGAAAAGAACTGAAAATTACCTTTTCCAGCTGAAGGTGCAAGCCTTTTACTGGGTGGACTTTTGCAGTTGGGGTCTGCAGGTATGAGTGAATTTTTTAATGTTTCATCTGAAAAGTGGCACATCCAGTTCTGGGTGGTTCTGGATGGTTCCTTAACAGCAGTTCATTAATACATGATAGGAAAAAGAACCATATTCAAGATTACTGAGAACGTCTGCACTGTCATACCTTAATATTTCTCACTTGGCCATCACTTGTTAGGCTGATAAAAACTGAATGTGAAGAGCAATCATTTAAAAAATTATTTAAAACTTGATATTAACCAATCTGACATACAGACATATGTTACTTGTGTTGATTTCATTGCCATTGTAAGAAAAAACCCCAAAGCAGTAGTGCAATAGTTTTTTGAGATTTTCTTCCTGATTAGTAGCAGTGTTAATGTCATCGAGTTTTCCTGGAATGCAGAGCTTTAATTATAAAGTAAATTAACTACTGTTTAGGATAGCCATCATTTTGTTTCTCTTTGTTATTTTCCTTCTCTACAACTCTCATTGATGAATGTCATTGATTGGTAAGTTTTCTTAAACACAGAATATTGATTAATACTTGTCAGAGTGGCAGGTAAGAAAGTTGGCATTGATGGATTTGGTCTTAGCAAAAGTCCTCAGCTGTTTTAAGGGAATCTGCTTCTTGGAAGACTCATTGTTGGTAGGAATACATGATTAACAATATACAAATAGACAATCTGAGAAGACTAACCTCGTGTGAGATAAAAAATCTTTCCACTCTGTACTTCTTTCTGATACAGTTGTAAGTAAATGCAGTTAGCTGGTAACTGGCAAAGATTCTTAATTTTTTAACCTTGCTTATCAATTTCAGGATGGACTTAAGAGATTAAATAGCTCAGGAAAATATGTGAAACGTTTTGGGGTTTATATGATTGTCCTCTAGAAGCCGAGTTGTAGTTATTTTTATTTCTTTCCATTTTTTTCAAAAAATTGCAGTTCGTGATGTTCTTAAATATTCTTATCTTAGCAAATGTCAAGATCTCAAAGGTTTATAAACTTTTGTTTACTGTACTACGTACTGCATTTCATATCACTAACTGAAAACAGTTAAGCATTTAGAAGGCCAGAAACTGTCATTCATTCTTACAGGCATGATGTAATCCTGGACAGAAAAATTATGTACAAAGCCCATTATATTTGAGACTTGTGCTTTGTATAGTTACATGTGTGCAAATAGTTGAAGCAAAAACATCTTCAGTCCAGTCATGCACATGGCTGCATAAAGACGTTCTGATTTGATTCAGAACAGCTGGTGTCCAAACAGCCAGTTGATTTCCCCAGCCCATGGCTAGCACAACTGTGTGGTCATGGGACTGCATTGCAAAGTCTAGCAGTATGTCCTGGCTAAGTGAAAGAGCAGAGGACAGAACTGTGTTAACAGGAGACCCATTGGCAGAGTTGTGAGAAGGGTAGAAAGTTTACCTCCAAAACATGATGGAAATATATAAGAATCGTTTCCCTTAACATTATTGTTTGCCTATAAATTCACCTCTGTAAACAGAATAGCATGTTTAATAAGTTAGAAATCATTCTACAAATAAAGTTTGAATTCTTAGAGCATTCATCATCTCCAGTAATTTCCACTTCTAAGAAATGGAAATTTATATTTTGTAAAGTATATATTTTTATAAAATATATACAAATATATAAAATATAGAACGTGTTGTAATGTGTTCTATTTCTATTATAATAAAGCCTGAAGCCAAAAAGTGCAAAGATCTCATATAAAAACATTCCACGTCCTCAATTGCTTGTAATGTATGTTTAAGGAGTTTACTTGTTTCAGGGCACCAACGTCTTTCATGAAATCTTTTGTCCATATTCAGAAAAATGTGCAGCTCAAATCAGTGTTACAAAACTTTAAAACTTGAATGACATAAAAGTAAGCAGAGTGAATGAAATAGTCCTTCATGTTCTCTCTCCTGTGTTAATTTCTTTTAGTGCTGGAGTCGGCCGGACTGGCTGTTTCATTGTGATAGATGCCATGTTAGAGCGAATAAAGCATGAAAAGACTGTAGATATTTATGGCCACGTAACTCTAATGAGAGCACAGAGGAATTACATGGTTCAAACTGAGGACCAATACATCTTTATCCATGATGCACTGCTGGAAGCAGTGACATGTGGAAATACCGAAGTGCCAGCCAGAAACCTGTATGCATATATCCAGAAGCTGACACAGATAGAAACAGGCGAGAATGTCACAGGAATGGAACTGGAATTTAAGGTACTGGGATTTTATGCTGTGGGTAACCAAAACCAAATGGTATAATACCTAGATCTTCTCTCTTCTGCACCAGTTGTTTCCAGAAATATATAAAAAGATTTATTAGTTAATATGTAAAGAAAAAATAGTCAGAAGATATTTCCAGTAATATAATAAAATGATAAAGACACTGGCAAATTGAAATTTTAAATTAGGAAGTGAATTAGTTCTTTCTGAAACATATAATTCTATCTTCAATGGGTGTCCAGACAAGAACCATTCAGTGAGGTTAATTTAACCCTGCTGTTCCTTTATCATTATTATAGTTTGAAATGTGTGTTTAATGCTGGAATTTGTCCCTATGCATTAATGGAGCAGACATGAACTTTGATAAGGTGTTAAAAGAAACTTTACAAATATTTAGGTAATGCAGTAGAGTATGGAAAAGTAAGCAACTGAAATGGAAATTACTCATTAATGGATAATGACCAGAGATTATAATACCTGATAGTGTCATTTGTTTTGTTATACCTGACCTTATTCTTTTAATTTGTTTTCAACAGCGTCTTGCCAGCTCTAAGGCTCACACTTCAAGATTCATCAGTGCCAATCTTCCATGTAATAAATTCAAAAATCGCCTTGTCAATATTATGCCATATGAGTCCACAAGGGTATGCTTGCAGCCTATCCGAGGAGTAGAAGGCTCTGATTATATTAATGCCAGTTTCATTGATGGATACAGGTACTAACAGTGATGTGTTCTCATATGGACTGCTTTAAAAGTTTACAAAATTGTTTATGTGATGTTATTTATCTATGACTGCCATGTTAGATTGGGTGGTTTTTTAAATTCTAATAAAACGCTTAGGTGTTTACCCCATGCAATACAGAAAAATTCTGTAAATTACATGGAATCTTAAACATTTTATTTTTACCTATCTTCAAACCACAGAGAACTCCCAGTATGCATTACATGCTGAAAGATACTGAGATTTTAAGCAGATTCATGATTTGGAACCTCTATGTCTTCACACTTATTCTGCTTAAAAAGATACATAGAAATAACATACAGGAGACAGATTTTGTCTGTTGAGGTTATAACCTGTGATCTTGGAACACTGGCCAACAGTTGACCTAACCACCAAAAGCATGTTATGCACAAGCAGTTTTGTAGTCCATCAGCATCTTCATGCTAATTTGGAGCAATATGCCCTCAGCTGACTCAAGCAGTTGCTAGAAGGCGGCATAAAGGAGAAGTGGTATAGTTTCCCAAGACAGTTTAGGTGTGCCTGAGTATCTGTACCCACAGAGATCATTTTCTGAGCCTCTGTTCATAACTGTAAACAACCAGTCATCCACTGTCACCCAGAGAGATGTTTCTGTTGATTGAAAGAAGTGAGAGCAAGAATTGATCATCATCTCATAAAGCTGCTGATCCACAGTTTTTTAAGAGTTTGGTAGTAGCTTCTGCTAGTAGGACATTAAGGCCTAGAAATGTAGTACACTCCATTCCCAAATTTTATTCCTGCCTTGCTTTTGCCAGAGGCATCAGATTGTTGAAGAGGAGTTAATAAAGAAACTGCTTGATCCTGTAATTCCTAAACTTAATAGATTGTTAGACAGTTATTTCTGCAAAATGAACCAGCACAACTAAGTGTTTCTTAAGTGCTTTTTACAGCACACCAAATTGAGCAATTAGAGTTGCATTAAAATTTAAATAATAATGATAAAGACATACATCATAATATTAACAGAGTAATTTTCCTCTCAAAGTTCTAAAAATAAAAATCTGTAGTTTGATTAAACAATCCTAATGAGGTTTTAATGTGCTTGTTATTAATACTATATACATTTTTCCCCTAGATAATTCTTACATATAAACAGAGGACATGTGTATCATTTATTTTTTGATTAAAATATTATTCTTAATTTACTTTTTTTTCAACATAGACAACAAAAAGCTTACATAGCTACACAGGGTCCTTTAGCAGAAACAACTGAAGACTTCTGGAGAATGCTCTGGGAGCATAATTCTACAATTGTGGTCATGCTCACTAAGCTACGAGAAATGGGCAGAGTAAGTACTGCTCTAAACTCCTTTACTATGATGTTGGTTTATAGCAGTTCTTTTTATTAAAATATTTCATTGTTGGTAGTGTCTAAAAAAGACAACTTAGGTTTCTTCTCCTGTTGAAATATCAGTAGCTTTCTTGGCCACTAGCTGTAAGGTTTTCCAGTCTGTTGGTGCATTGCAACAGACAAATGGCACACAGGATTTTCTTGTGGGACGCAATGAAATTCAGCAACTGAGTCTGCATTCCAGTATTCCAAAGCATGCAGAGAAAGCTGTCTACTGAAAAAGAAAGATTATTTCTTGTTTGGAAACTTCACTTTTGCATGGTCTCCTTGTAACAGTGTTAAAAGAAAGCATGTTCTGTGCTGAACATTAAAGTTTCAGCACCCAGTTTAGAGTTCTAAACTCATTCCGTTGATGCTCTGTGTACTGAAAAGAACAAAGCAGTTTGCTGTTTGGACAGGGTGACATCAAGATGAAGCTGCCATGTAATAAGTGAAATCTTAGTTAGGCCATGTATGTGAGGGGATAGAGATTATTCAGGACATGACGAGTGGATGCAGAGATAGAATCTTGACGGAGGCTGGGGCAGCTTGCTTCAGCAGCAAAAAAGAAAGAAAGCTGACAGTGATCTCAAGATTTAAATCAAGAAAAAGAATCTATAATGAAAATTAGGCTATGCACAGCTCTTGATAGATAATAAAACTGAGCAGTAGTATAAACAAGTTCAGATACACAGTGACCAGAGAGAACCCCCCTGCAATGTAATATTAAAGATAAGCTTTTACTCTACATATGGAATTAATTGTTCGCACCAACATGAGCAGCTCATGTTCCTCTCACTAATGGCACTTGCCATGAATATTACACTTTACTAAGTAAGAAAAGGATTATACCACTTTATGGTAGTGCTCTCAAGTAACAGGAAATGTATTATACTTTGTCATTTTGTAGGAAAAATGCCACCAATACTGGCCTGCAGAGCGCTCAGCCAGATATCAGTATTTTGTCGTAGATCCAATGGCAGAGTACAACATGCCACAGTATATTCTGAGGGAATTCAAGGTTACAGATGCAAGGGTAAGTTGACATAGCATTACTCTTGTTCCCAGAAGTTTGAAAAAAAAAGTCCATTTCTCTCTTTCCCTATATCTTTTTTTTTTTTTTTTTAATTTTTATTGTTACTAAAAAACTCCTTGTTCTTTCTACAAACAATAACAAAAAAGCAGATAAAGTTATTATTAATAAATGGTATCTTTCTGTGGGAACAATTGACTTCATTCAGATCTAGCATCTGGACAGCACAACTTTGAAAAGTTCTGAAAAATTATTTGTGCCAAAATACATTAGATGATTTGAGGACTATTTTCTTTTTTTCCTCATTTCCCCGTTGATCATTTCTGGGGACAATTTCTGCTACTTGCAGCAGTAAATATGTTGTTTTGCACTACCCTCTAGGCTGAGTGAGTATGAAGGTTAATACACTGAGATTTTAAAACTGCAGAGCAAATGACATTCATAAGAGAAGCTTGACAAGCTTTGCACATTATAATTTTATTTTCAGCACTCTATTTTATCTGCAGAGTAGATGCATGCAGCTGTGACCCTAGCATCCTCATTTTAATACTGCATTTCTTATCTGAATTCTTGAGTCCAAAACTGAGCACTGATAGAAGATTAAACATACATAAACTTTTAATGTATGTTTGGCATTTCTCAGACTTTTCATTTCTAGCACTTCAATCTGTAGGGCAGGAAAACATGCTGCCAGCCTCCAGTTCTGTAGGAAATCAAAATAGCAGGGTGTACTGTCCAGGAATAACATGAGTGACAACTCAAGAATTGCCAGTCAGCATCCAAAATATTAGACATTCTCACAATTAGAGAGACGTCGATTTTTTAAGCATCAAGTAAAATTGGATAGTATTGTCATTAACCAAGTCAGCATACGAACCTTTTTATTTTGCAAATGAGATTTAGGAGTAGATTTTTTGTACAGAAATTGTAGACACTCTGGGTCTGATTTTCATTCTGTTTGAAATCTAGTAAGGATCTAGCTATGACTCATAGCTTCACTAACCTATTTATGGAGAACCACAAAAGTGGAGAACAGTCTCCTAGCGTTGGTCTTTAAGCACACTTGTAAGCAGAGATAGTAAAAGCCAATTTCACTACAAATATGCCAATAGTTTTCATAGATCATCTATTAAGAATCTGTTCCATCTCATGCTGAGAAGAATGTGCTCATCATGAAAAGATGTTTTATTACAAAGTTCACCAAGCTCTGATCACAAAATAATAGTTATAACAAAAAACTACAGTTGTAGTTGAAGTGTCTGCAAACAGAATGTATTTCCAGATAATTCTTTTGAGAGTTTATATTGAAGTAGAATATTTAAGAAAGTCTGTTTTCTTACAGCTGTCAAGACAGTAAAAAGTCTGAAAGGGTCAAATAACTAAATTTACCAGAACTAGGGTTTTTTTAACCTGATATTAAGACAACTATTTTTAAAACATCAAGCACATATGCACCTTGACAGTCGTATTGTGACATTTTATCATCACATATTTTTGCTCCTCAAATTTAAAAAGTTTTGTTAAAGTCATTAGTGAGCTGACAGTACTATCCTAAATTTCTAGATAGTCTGAGAAAATATAGCTCCTTTACCAGAAGTGGGAATACTAAAGTGTACATTATAGTTTTCCCATAGTTTGGCTTATGTGGCTTTCACACCCTGTAATTGAGATCATCTGACTAAATTGTTCATTCAAAGAAGAGTAAATGCTGCAGTGTTTGTAATCATCCTCTCTCCCTTTGATCTCCGAGTGCATCCATGCTGTTAGAATATCATCCATGCTCTGGCAGAGCCAAGCTGACCAATTATTCCCTAAAAAATGAGGCACATTGCCTTTGTAGGTGTCAGCAGCAAGTGTCTGGTGTGGAATTCCCTGTTATTTCTGAGACTGAACTATGAATTGTTGTACAGTGAAATTGACCTCTGTAACTGTTTCAATCTGCTGCTTCTGACTGCTTTGTACTCACTTTCTCTGTAAACTCTAGAGGTCAGTATGGCAGGCCAGTCTCATTTAAGGCTAAACTATTAGTGGTGGCTGTAAGAGAGTATTATAAATTCTACAGCCTAATCAGAAGACAGTCCTCCCCTGTGAGGAGCAAGAAGAAATCCAAACGGTCAGCCAATCAATAGGATTATACATTATAAACCCTCTATGCCACATAGGGATCTGAAAGTACTTATTTTGATAACTAACTGTGTAAACTGTCACAATATTGGAAAGTAAAGATTTTAATAAAATTTGGCATTTGTATTTGGACTGCTGTTGGCAAAAATCTCATATACTGTTTATAATGTCAGTAGCAGAGGGAACTGAAAGAAATTGTAGATCAATTCCCAATGTGTTTTAGTGCTATAGACATAGACTAAATAACTTTACTTCTTTGCTCATTAAAATACTTTAAATAACAGAAGTTATTGTCATTTCACAGACTTGTATTGGAATATTGAGTGACTAAAATCATGAAGCACACCAATACAGTTGATTTAGACACACACAAAACCCAAATATTTGCCATTAAATCAATTTATCAAATAGAAATGTGTGGTCTTCCCAATGACAGACTGGACTTAAGTAAGGTGGTGTCTTTCTTACCTTTTCTAACCCTAAAAAATTACTATTACTATAGTATAAATCCTGTCAGGGTGAGAAATTGCTGAAGAGTTCCCATCTGCTTAACCATCTTGCTGTGAGTAAGTAAAATTTCAGGTTTCCTTTCTTTACTTTAGAAGAATGGAAGGTTATTTTGTAGGGAATCAACCTATTGGTATGTCTTCCTGATTAATTGATGTCATGTGCCACAGGCTATCTGAAGGATGTAATTTCATTATTTTTTCTTGGGGGAAAGTGGGATCACAGAAACCATTATTAAAGAATTTTATATTAAGAAAACGCTATTTTGGAAGAAACTAATTGTTCTTTTTGTTGATGACCACAGGAAATCAAATTGGGTGAATGTTTTCAAACATTTCTTTTTTTTTATGGGGCGACAGAAATAGACTAGTGAATTGTCAGAGTGGTCTAGTGGAAGTAGGCAGTATATGTGTCCTCTCACAGAGCAGTGCCTGGCACACACATGCTTTTTCTGTTTTCCTTATTCATCTGAGACCTGGGAGGCAAACACCCACAATACCAGAGGAAACATAAAAGCAAATTATTGGATTTTCCTTTGGTTATTTTTAAAATCCCTTTTATTTCATTTCAAAGATCTGTAATAGCTAACTGTTTGTGGCAGAGGGAAAAGAAGAGAAAGATTGTTCTTGCCTCCAGCATAACTTGTTGCTTTGGGGGGGGGGGGGGGGAATCTCCAGTAATAATTTCAATTTTTCATGAGCTTCACTTAATAGAAGGCCATTTTGAAGACATGGCAGGGTGAGTGCTTAGGAAACATGATGTCCAGAGGCATCAGTTAACATCCATAGCCCACATGCCCATGCTTTTAAGTATTTCAGCTGTGCAGACTGACAGTGTCAAAATCATCATGCTCAGTGTTTGAAAATGCAGAACAAATTAGTTTATCCATTTGTATTGTGTTTTGTCTGTGTCCTGACTTTTTGCACATTGAGTAGACATACAGCAGAAGTCAGGATTTAATAATTCCATTGACCCCATTATAAAAATTAACTATGCTGCAGTATTCTGCAGTTTTAAATCATGGTATTCCTAACCACAGGGAATGAAGAGCTTCAGATGGCTTACTTTGAAAAAGTAAGCCCTTCTTCTCAGTTTTAACTGACTCTAAGATGTTTTGTGAATTAAATTAACAATTATTGAAGGGAAATTTGTCATTTTTTAAGCAACTGGCTTGTTTTGACCCATCTTCTTCCAGGCGAAATGTCCACATCATAGAAAGCAACATACTGCTAAAATACCGTCTACAAGGAGGGCAATGACTAAACAAGTGTTATAAGTAAAGATATTCCTGCCACCTAGGAAGTGGAAAGTCGGATTGGTTGACCTTATTCTACTGATTTGTATTTAAAGGAGTTTGCAGTCCGTGAGAATCAAGACATAACTTACCAGAAAAGTCATATAACCTAGTGAGGTTTTTGTGCCTTTAGCCTCAAGGGTGCTTTTTGTACAAAGTTTCAGACAACTCTCCTATGCAATGGAGAAGGGAATCCATGCAATGCCATTAATGAAACTACATGTCCAGGCCAGTGTTTACAAAAACTCCATCCAGTCCTGCAGCTGAAAGAGTTTTCATTAATCTGATCTTAGTCATTCCCCAGCATCTCTCAATGTCCTTGCTTTTTTGATTGTCTTTGTGGTTATTGGCTGACTGACTTTAAGCCACTGCAGTATGCTTTAGTGATACATTATTTGTGTCTTTTGTTAAAGGATGGACAGTCCCGAACAGTGAGGCAGTTCCAGTTCACTGACTGGCCAGAACAAGGAGTGCCAAAGTCTGGAGAAGGATTTATTGACTTCATAGGCCAGGTGCATAAAACAAAAGAGCAATTTGGTCAGGATGGACCAATTTCTGTTCACTGCAGGTAAGTTAACAAAGCCTAAAAACAACTGATAAGCAGATTTGGTTTTTTTCTAAACCCGATTGCTGATTTTGACAAAAGCATATATTTAAACAGAACTTCAGAGGTGAACTATCAGAAAACGTACTCAAATAGAAGATCTAAAAAGAAACACAATGAAGTGCTTTACAAAATGTGAACAGTGATATTCCGTTTGCACAGAAATGTTTTTCAAAAATGTGGAAGCACATGATTTTTTCTTCACTTATAAATGTCTCTAATGCAGCGTAAAAGCAATCTGGTCAGTGCTGCACACAGAAGGCATAGGACGAGCCTTATCACAGGCTGCTATATCTGATATTTTTTCCACTGGAAATTAAAAGCGAGGCTGTTACTTTGGTGGGGATTATTACCTGCAAACAATCTAGTTACACCTCAGTAGCACATTAGTAGCTATCAAGATGAGACAATTAAAAATGGTAGCTATCTCAAGATAGGGAATGGAATAGAAATTGGTGTTTAGAAACTTTGCCTGTCAAAAAATCATTGAGGTTTGGGTTGATGCATTCTAACTTCAGAACTTAATGCTCATTTTTTGATGTGATGACTTCCCTCAAATCCTTTACAGTTGATATGCTGATGAAAACAGCTTGCAGGGTGTGTAGGAATAATCCAGAGTGGGCTTTTTAATATTCTTATATTTTTTATTTATTTTCTTTACAGTAAGAAAGTAAGACTCTCTCTAGACTCCATAGCAGATGGACAAAAATAATATCTTTATCCTTTATCTCTTATTTAATAAATTGTTTTCTATAATTTCCATTAGGATTTTAGATAGTCGTTTTTGTAATATGAAATTATTTTTGGTAGATTAAATATTATTATTTATACGACAGAGATGCAAAATACTGATACAAGTTTCAAGTCCTTACTACAAGCCAAGTAATGCCCCAATACTAGCGTAAAGACTAAGTGAATGAGTTTACTAGAGTCTTTGAATGTACAGAGTGAGAGAGATTCTCATCCTTCCCAAGTCAGAAACAACCAGAAGTTGAGTTCTTTATGATCCCCTAATCTGAAATACTGACATAATAAATTTATTGGACTACTTGAATTCTACTATTTTTAAGTTCCTAAAATTTTTATGGACTGCTAGGAGAATAGCATTGCAGAGCAGTGGTTGGGATTCATTTGGCAGGGGAAAATGAGGGACAACTCTGATAAGAATAAGCCATATTCTTCAGCATTAATGAGTTTTGAGAGCACAGGAGTCATAAGAAATATTTACACCTTTATGCAGATAAGAAAGCAAAGTGATGTTATTCTTCTAAGTTCTTTGTACCATGCAAACTTGTCCACTTGTGACTTCAATGGATACTCTTTGCAGTATGTTATATATCCCTTCGAAATGGGTGTGATCTTTCTTGCTAAAATTATAGAGTTTTGTTCCACTGACTTTGGGAGAAACAGTCAAATCCGGTGTAACTAACCAGGGTTTGGTCTTTAAATGTCATTATCATCATTGTGATGACAATTTAGGGACTGGTAATTCTGATCATCATTATCAGCGTTAGTCAACTTGCATAAATAGATGTCCCTAGCAAACTAGTAGGTTTATTTGTTTCTTTCAGGAAGCATAAGATCCTGGATACCTGCACTTTCCTAGTCTCTGTAGAATTACTGTAAGAATGCCTGCAGCTTGTACCATGATGAGTTTTAAAATTAATTAAGACTCCACCAGTGGCACTTCCTTTTGATTTTCTTCCCTCTCTACAGCTTTCACAAGCTTGCTTTCTATGTTGCACAGTAAACCTCTTCCACCCACAATTTTAAATTTTCCCCTTCTCTAGCATTTTTGCAAATAGATCAGTGTGTTGAATTTAAAAATTTCTAACCTCATTAGGCAGATAATTAAAAATATTTCAGAGAGCAAAGGACTGTTCACCTTGAAGCAAAATTTTCACTTCAACCAATATTACATATTTATAGTCATCTTATTCCAGCTTTTAGCTGGACAGTGAGGAAGACCAACCTTTTCCAGAATGCATTCAAGATGTATTTGTAGCAGCAATCTCTTCTCTCTTACAGAAATATCAATACTTTCTCATGGCTAATTAAAGCATCCTAACTTTGGTTTCTAACTGTTTAAAGTTTTGTAACCACACCGCATCATGAAGCAGTGCCTTCACTCTTTAGAAATCCTAAGCATTTTTTGGTAGGAATTGTTGCAGTGTTAAAATATGCTGGGCAGTCTCAGGGGAACAGGATCAGTTTCCTACAGGCTTTTCTGGAAACATCAAATTTGATGACTAGTTTTGCACCACCCTCTAGGCTACATAAGATTTTCACATTAATCTCACTTTCTTGTTAAGTAGCAGCTCCAGATACTTGTGGATTTCTTAAGAATGCAAGACAAGAAAATAAATGCCTTCCTTTTGCTGAAATAAAGATTCTAAGTAATTTCTTTAAAGTAATGAAAATCCTTCTAATATGTGAGGCCGGAAGTCCTCTCGCCAGTTAAGAAAATAATACCTTTTTTATTGAATATTTTTAAATAGTGTGGCAGGAGCAAGGAGAATGTAAAGTAGTAATCTGCCTTCATTCTTCTGGTTTATTCATTCTGTGCTACTTGGTTTAGATCACACTGTTGTCAGCTCTGTAAAGTCCGAGCAGGTTCCCACGATGTTTCTCCAGGATTTTTCAGGATGTTTCTTCAATATTAACTTTCTAATTTACCTCATGAGGGAAAGGAGATCTTACACTGTTAATTGCTTTAGGTGTCCAGGCCTGCTGTCATCCCATATAGGTAAATCAGCACTGACAGCATGATATTTTCTCAAGTGTTATGTCAGTTGTCCTTTGGCTTCAGCAATCTGAAGGCGCACAGGCTATGCAAAATTGATAAATCCAATCACATACGTTTATTAGCCCTAAAAGTCCGTTAATTTGGACATTCAATTTCCACACTAGTTTCGTGAAACCACTAGATCTCTGTCATAGTTCATATGAACATTCAGAGTTCTTCAGGTTTTACCTTCTGTTCATGTTCTTCCACTCTTCTTTCTGGTGAACAGGTCTCATAAATATTCAGCTTCACAAGTTTGTCTGACTGGAGAAAACCTTGTGAAATTATTAACATCAAAAGCAAGATGACAGGGTGCTTAATTTTCCACCCATAGAAGTTCAGACTTGGAAAATCTTTTTTTGTTTTCTGTGCAGTTACCTGTCTCTTTGACCAAGCGTAATCTTTATTAATAAGTGATTATTTAATTTTAAAAACTGACAGCTATTGACCCTATTGATTACAAGAATTTCCATCACTTCTTGAGGATTTCAGCTAATAGCAGAAACTCAAGGCAGAACAGAGAGCAAACAAGCCGTATATGTTCAAAGACGATACGACTAGTATAGACAGACATGGTACCTGAATATCGGCATTGGAAAGCAAAGATCAACTGCCAGACTTGAATAAAAGGTGTCTTGAGATTGCGTTGAGTTGGAGTGCGCATGCAAAAGTTCAGTATTAATTGAACATCTACCATTTCTGACTCAAAGTAGGAGGTAAAATAACACACTGAAAATGTGCAAAATAGGGTATATATGTGAACAAGCTAAAATAAAGCAAGCAGTAATATGCATTTTGGCTTCTTTTTCTCTTGTCAATTCCAGTGTATATCATTGGTAACAAATGTTCTCATTTACTTCAGCAGGCACTGATTATTGTATATCTAGATGAAAAACCAAGTCGTTTTGCAAGAAGACTGGAGAGTCAGACACTTAGTAGCATATAAAGTTTGCTTGAGCACGGTTATTCTTTTGAATACAGTGTGGTAATTTGCACTGGAATTTTGCTTAGTGAGCCTTTCACCATATAGAAATTTGTGCACATATGGTGTGTTGCAACCACAGATAATTTGTCAGCCAGTTCTTTCAGCATTAACTGTAAATTAACATCCATTTTTTCCTTTTATTATCTTTTCCTTTATTGCAACAGTGCGGGTGTTGGAAGGACTGGAGTATTCATAACCCTGAGCATTGTATTAGAAAGAATGAGATATGAAGGTGTTGTAGACATCTTCCAGACTGTCAAAATGTTAAGGACGCAGCGGCCAGCCATGGTACAGACAGAGGTGAGCAAAACAGTATCCATATACAATAGCGAGGGAAAAGAAGCAGTATTTACACAAAGAAAAAAAAATGTACAGTTTGAGACTGTATAAAATGTGCTTACATTTATGTCTGAAATCATATAATGACCTTATGACTATAGGGTAAAATCTACCCTAAAGGTACTGCAAGGACTGTTTCCTGTTACAGCACTAGTTACTGCAGGCTGGGGAAGAAAGCAGTCATTTCAATAGTGGATCCTAAATTGTGGTAGTTGAGAAAAAACATTTGTGAAGTATCACCCATTTTTATTTGAACCTTTTTCCTGGCAGAAATGTGCGGTAATAAAAAAGGTGGCAAATCATTTCTGCAGGTGGATGCACTGATTTTTTTCTTGTTGTTGTTCTGGGAGCTAAGTGTTGATCATGTTTTCAGGCTGATGCTCTATTATTTTCATGTTTTTCTTGACTTTGTGTCACCAAGCAAGTAGCTGTTTGGCCTGAAAATCATAATGATAAATTCTGTGTTCAGGAGAACTATATATAAAATAATTTCTGTGCTAGTGAGAGTAGCATAGAGAAATAAAGAAAGGGATAAGCAGTATCAACTGATTACCTGTGTCACATTATAAAGAACGCCTAAACATTATCAGTTAATGTTGTGCTTAATTTATACTTTAATTTGTGAGCAGAAGACCTGAACTAAACCAGAGGCAATAGATTAGGAAAACTAAGAAAAAGGGCAAGGGAAGGGAAACATTTCAGGTCATACATTTATTTAGTATTGTTTGATTGACACTGGCCTTTAAATTACAGTCTTTGAAATTTAAAATGGTTCCCCAAAGTTTACCTTTTCCCATAAGAAAATTAAACTTGTTCAATTGAAGCTGAGTAGTCCTATTTTTAAAAAGACAACTTCATAAAAACTTATATGAAAAATACAGATACTTATTTTTAATCTTGTCAGTTAGCCGAGTAAATCACTGTGACCAAACTGAAGAGTTAATTCCATTTCTTTTCCATTATCATCATTTTTCTGGATAAGCAAAATGAAAAATGACTGTTTTCTGTCATTTTAGCTCCAAGAAATAACTACAGTGTACAGAAAAGCTATGCTTCTTTGAGCCTACCTGACAAATACTGAGTTCAATTCTGCAATATATTCTCTCTCCCCTGCTCTGACTTATTTCTGTATGTGCCCTTCATCCCCACTGCTGAAAGCAGTGGTGTTGTGTACTCATTTCTTTCAGAATTCTGTGGAAAACAAATCTCTTGTTCAGTGGTATAAACTACCAGGAAATCTAATACTTATTCAGCAAAGCACTTGGACTCCAGAGGGACCACACATACACTTAAAATTTAGGTGTATGTGTAATGCATTCTGCCACTGTTCCAACTATTCCAACTAACAGAAATGAAAAATTAGTGATCACACCATCTCAGTGAAACAAATATCTGATTAGTTTCCTGGCCTCCGCAAGAATTTTAATTGCTATCGTAACAAGCCTATGTAGGGTTAATACACAGCACTATCCGATAAATAAGCAGGCATCCTTGATATTTTTCTTGGAGCAATTTCTTTTATTTTTTTTTCTTTTTTTTCTGTTTTACCATTTAAATCCTGAGTGGCAGTGGCAAATGAGGACACAGATGTGCCATTTTTTAGTGTAAGTGTGCAACATAACATAACTGTGCAAAAGAACTGCGTTATTGAGGTGAGAAAAACACAAAATAACCAAATGTTCGTTTCATCAGAGGTATAAGCAAATTTCTCACCACACTAAAATTCTCCCTTTTTCCAGGTGTAGGTTGAAATGCAGTCTGTTTCATGTGAATAAGGTGCTTCAGCTGCATATTTCTCTTTTAGTCCCTTTTCTTGCCACAGGCTTAAGGTATTTTCACATCTTCATCAAAGCCTGTGTAACTGAAAGGCTGGGATTCCCTTTGCTTCCTTAACATAAATTTTAACCTGATGGTTTTCCATATAGCATTCCATATTAAGACTCTGATGAACTTTGTCATTTAGTATGTTGTATTTGCTGTAGAATTAATTGAATATTTTGCTACTTATTTTCAAATATATGAGGGAAAAGCGCCTTGGCATGTTCCCGTCAGAAGACAGCTTTATGCTGATATTGTTTTAATCCAGAATAAGAGAAAGTTGAGAATATAGTCTCTGCACAAAAATAAGCTGCAATCTGTGGAAAATTTTATTGCATTAAATAAGTGTCTATCTTGATCTGTTGTAACTCATAGTGATTTTCTGCTGATGTTAGTGAGTGAACATTGCTGAGCTGCAGATGTCTATGTGGTGTATTTGTTTGTAGCCACAAAATATTCACTCTTAGTTGAAGGAAACTAAAAACCAACCAAAAAAAGCTGACTTTTTGATACTTTTGTTTTCTGTCTTTCTTTCCAGGATCAATACCAGTTCTGCTATCGAGCCGCACTGGAATATCTGGGCAGCTTTGATCACTATGCAACATAAAAACCCATTGTGGATTTTTATTGCAGGCCCTTTAAGATCCGGAGAGCCGCTTCTGAGCCATACAATGTGCTTTAGAAGTACTTCTTAACTCTTAGCTAAGGAGCAATTATTGGGGATATATAAAATAAATTTAAAAAAAGAACAAAAATATTGGGGATATATAAAACAAAAAAACAACAAAAAAAAAACCCCACCCAACAACAACTGTTCCATGTGGACCAAGAATTCACAGTTTAATAACCTAACCATAATAAAAGAATCCTGACCACTGAGGTGTCTGAAGGATCTCATTTACAGATACCTCAAGGGTTCGACATTGGTTGAAGTCAAAGGGAAGAGGAAATTAATCAGAAAAAAATATCATCTTGTTCAGGATTACATGCTTTTGCAAAGAGGAGTTTTGAGAACTGCAGTTCAGTGCAAGATGTTTGTTGCAAGGTTGGATCCTGGCTTCTCAAACAAAACTGACTCTTTACTTCAACATCACCCTTTCCTGTCATAATGCTCATCATAACACTTTAGGGAAAATGTGGGAATGTTTAAAAAGAAAGTCCTTGATTTAGTTTTTTAGTATTGTAAAGATACTGCTGACCTGTGCTTCATTTTTAACTGTGTAAACTTTTTTCCTTTTTTTAACAAGAGGTTATCATTCAATGAAGTGAATTAAAGAAAAGGTTGCATAACTGTTAATATTTTTGTTTAAATAATGTAGATTTTTTTTAAGCTGTAGAACTGTTATCTGTAATATTGTGCTGTAGAAATGTTAAATACTTTGAAAATTTGCACATTTTTGTGCAGTCCTACAGTACCACAGTCTTGTTAGATATTAATTTTATAGTTTTATTTGTGTTTTTTTCCTTAAGAAAATATTCATTGTAATCAGTTAAATCAAAATGGTTTCTTTTGGAATCAACAGGGAGGCGCAAAGTATAAAGTTGCTGCTAGCACGTACACACACACGCACACATATGCACATGCACACTCACACCCTCTCTCTTTTTATATATATATATATATATTATGTATTACTGTCTACCCTTGTCTGACTCTGTATAGTTACAGAGATACAGATGGATAGATATTCACACACATGCACATAAACATACCAATTCTTACATACCTGGATTTATCAAAGCATTGGGAAACCTTTTCAGCATACTACAGTTATATCAAACTACTATTTGATCATCTCTGCGTTTTTAGGTCCATAAACTTTGTTTCAAATGGGAAGTGAGGAATGCACATCATTGATATTTGTACATCATCTCTCTCCCAAAAAGTACTTCTGTCCACATTACCACTTGAACACACACACATGCACACATACACATGCACACACATGCACACACGCACACAGAGTATGTGATTTAGGCTTCAAGTGAAGTTCAATATTTGTAACACTATAGTGCAATAAGAAATCATATTATTAAATGTAGGAGGTGTGCATGTGGGAAAGGTCAGTGCATATCCCTTTAGGAGGGGAGAATGTTGTAATATACTAGGTATTAAGATGTTTTAAAATTGTATTCAATAGTATACTGTCTATAGTGTGCGCTATATAATTTACATTTATCCTATGTAACAGGGCAAAGCCAAACACATATTGCTCTGTGAAATCAAACGTTTTGTGGCATACAGCATTGTTTGGGGATGCTGGGGTTTATTTTAATTTTACATTTAGAGTGCCTTATATTTGATGCCTATTTTGAATAGCATTTAAGTTAGCCTTCATTTGTGTTTAGTTCGGTTTGTTTATATCTCTGTTATTCATTTCAAACGTTTTAATACATGTATCAGACAATTTTGAAAAATATGCATTTCCAGTTTCTAATCAAGTATGGATGGTAATAAATGATAACCCAAAACACATAGGTAGTCAAGGCCCTTTATCTTTCCATATTTCCAATAACAGACCAGCCCACAAATTGAAAATCTGTTTCTGGTTGGCTTTTCAAACCCACTGTGTCACTGGTTATAGTGTTATCATTGCAGAAATGTAGCAGTACAGTAGCAGTAGTTGACATCAGCAGTGCATTTTTTTCTTTTTTTTTTTTTTTCTTTTTTTTTGATTTATTTTGGGCCAAGTCCTGCTTATTCACTTGTGTCAACAGATTGCTAAAGTCAAACCATTTCTTTCAATTGGAAGGTTCATGTAAGGCTAGCAAGACTGAACCCCCAGGACATATTGGAGAATGACAGTAGATTTTCTTCCAGGAAACAAGGAAAATTTTGTAAACAAAGCAAAAAGTACATTTTGAAACTCTTTATAGGATACCATTTACATTGACCTCAGTTTCCATTGTGTGTTCTGCCATTGTCAGTACATGAGTATCAAAGGAATTCTTTCTTTGGGGTTTCAAAGAGGAGCATTGCCACGGCTTGTCAGTGTGATCTCAACATTTTTTCTTCTTCTTCCAATTTTCCCACTGCTAGCGGAAAGAAAAATATGAAAGACCAAACTCTAGCAATTGTATTTGAGCACTTTTATAATTAAAAAAAAAGCACCAAAAAAAATCAAAACAAAAATATGTATGTAAGAATAGAAGTATTATAGAAGGCTACCTCAGAATGAGATTCTATAAATTACATCTGAACCAGAGAAGAATGTGCACTATGTTTCTTTCTCTTCTTCTTTCTTGATTTATACTTTAAAGTAATTATTGAAGTGCCAGGTTATGTAATGTGGTTCTGTTCTTCAACTCAAGTATAGGGAATCAGAAAAACACAAGAATAGAAAAAGTGTCATTTTGGACACACATACTAGGGAAGGTTCTTGCATACTGGATCTGTAAAAGGATCAGCACATTTTCCCTAGCAGACCATCTTGCAAACTCCAAAGAAAATGAGGGAATAAAAAAAAAAATACAAAAAAGCAGAACTAACTTGTGAGGAAAACTGTTGTACAACTAAATACTCCTTTTAGGTTTTGTGTTTCTTAAGATAACTCTTAGCATCATTGATGTGCATTCCACTTTCTGTATTCTTATATATGCATTCTACAGTTAATTTAAATTGTGAATATCTTTGTCTACATGCATCATACATTTCCAAGCTTAAAATTGGTTTCATCAACATAACCAATACGGTGCTATTATTTACGTTTGTATGTGTAGTTATGTCTAATTTTGTAATTAGTTGCAATGGGGGAAAAAAACCCACAAAATATATAAAAATAGTTTATACAGAAGTTTAATTTAGCTCTTTTTTAAAAAATTATTTGAGTGGTTAGACAGTGGAGAGGATGGCTGGGGGAAAGAGTGGCCCTCTAAGGAGATTTGCACTTTCTATATATACCTTTGTACTATGCACTGCCCTATTGATTCTACACCCAGGATTGTTATGACTTGAACCCATCTGTAAGAAACTGCTTATAATCCACTTGTATGTATTTAAATGACACAGAACATGTAAAAAGGAAAAAAAAAGTTTGCAATTACTTAAAAAAGCAACTGCTTTTTTTCCCTTTTATTCTCTCCCATTTTTCTTTTTTTCTTTTTTTCTCTTTTTTTTCCTCTTTTTTTTTTTTTCCTTTTTTTATTTTCTTGGTGCCCTGATACTCCACAGATATCAGAAGGCTGCAGGTCTCATCATAACCATCCATTATGTGGCTTTACCATTCAAGCTTGGAGTGTCTTTACAAAGATAATAAAAACTTGTGTTCTTTGCTCTTGTTTTGGATGCATAGACTGAAAAATTTAAAAAAATTACCTTGTAAAATGGCTTGTTAAAAAAGATACAATTACCTCTAATTAGTAGTACGCGTAAATGTTTTACAGAATGAAAGGCGTGCTTTTTATTTTCTTACTTCGTTACATTGGTGGCAACAGAAAGTCTGTATGAAAATCAGTTCTTTGCTGACACAGGTTCCATTTGTTACAGATGAATTCTAATAAAATGTCAGTGTTATGCAGCCCTGGTCTTCTTTCTTAAGCAGTACTTTTGAAATCAAAACTTGTTTGGTCCCTCTTGGTGATAAAGGAGTTTAATTGGAGCTACACAGCAGTCATTAATCTTCTTAACTAGCTGCTGGACAGTAGAAAATGCATTCTTGGGTTAGCAAATATATATCATCTTCAGCAGCAAGTTTTGAGCCAGTGTAGGCAAACTCTTTGGCATAAATTCTCATTCTTCATGAATTTAATTGAAATTATCACACTTTACATGCCTCTGGAGTTTCCCTTTGTACTTTAGAAATGTATGATTACACTGAGAAAATAGATTTCTGACCATTTGAAGGTGCAACCCAAAGAGGGCAAAACATTCACATATATGAGGCAAATTGTGAATTTTTAATTCCTGCAGATTTGGCAGGTTCTGGGGTAAATTCAAAGTCACTTGTCAGAATTCAGTTACTGAAATTGTGGCAAACTGTCATGACTTTTGACCGATTTCTGTTATGTGCAGTGAGGGCAAACATAGGTCTATGAGGCTGCTATCCAAATACTGTTAAAGTTTTTAAACACACTGGAAAAGTTTTAGGTAAACATGCCAAGTGTATTGAGGCAAGCTACAAGGGGCATGGCATGGCAGTTTAGTCAAAGAAAACAAGTCTTGCTCTGTCTGCTTGTTTTGAAAGAAGGCAGGTTCTGTCTCCAAGATTACTCTGTAAGGGAATATAGTCTATTAGCAATCAGGATTAAGTACATGTTAATAAAGAATTCTCTGTGCTGAAAGGGTGTGCAAGACATTACATTGGCTGATTTCTAAGAACGTGTATTGTTCTTAGCCTAATTTCCACCTTAAGATGGTGATAACAGTGTAAATGTGAGGCCTTGGTATTCTTACAGAGGCTTATTAATGTTTTTCCACTTACTTTTGTGGATTTTACAATTACTGCACTGCAGGCTGCCTTTGGCTTGAACCTTTTTTGCGTAGTGTGTGCAAGGTGGTTTAGAGCTGTGTTATGTAAGGGTTTCTTTAACTATCTGAGTGGCTTTAGATGGTACCCTTTAATGTCAGCATTGACTTCTTTGGATTTTCCTGTTCTGTGCGTCTAGCATGGACCAAAATAAAGTGTGAAAATGAGTATTGACAAAAATATTTCACTGTGTATGGCTTAATAACTTTTAAGTTAATGGGATTTTAACAGAAGTAGTTCTTGCTTAACACAGAAAAAAAAAGTCATGTACCATGAAATCATTACTATTTAGAAATGCTGTTGAAATGTGAAATTAGCTTACCTCAAAGCAAAGCACTAGCTAGAGACTTTCAAACAAAATAACATTTACATCTTTTCTGCATTTTGCAATCACTTGGACCCAATTCCCAGATTCCCAGAACCTTTGGTGTTCACCCATACTAGTATCTCTCAAAATGAGTCAGTCCTGATTCTAGGGCAAGAAAGGATTTCCATGTGTGATTTTACCCATTGCCTGCTTCTCCTGGTCCATGTGAGCTTAGGCCAGAAGTGAGCTACTGGTAATGTGATAAACAAAGCACTGAAAAAGTACTGATAAGGAATATATAGAAAGAAATTATTAATTAAAGAGTGTCCAAAACAGTTCATTACCAAACAGATCAGTATCCAATGCCTACAGAGCATTATAGCCATCAATGGCCAAGAAAGGAGCAGAAAAAATGTTCATAGAAATTGAAGAGTCCTTTTTACATCAGATGCAAATGTGGCCTTTTTTTTTTTTTTTTTTTTTCCTCTTAAACAGTTTTATAAGAAGAATGAACTCGAATGATTTATCAGAGGCTTTGGAATTTTGAGAAAAATAACCAGCAAATTTGCTGATGTGTAAGCCAATGTATGACTGATAAATCACTTCCTCTCCCATAAAACTTAACATAAAAAGGATGCATCTTGCCTGTGGAGTTGCTGAATTCTATGAATTCTATAATATGAAAGTTTCAGATAATCAAACTTCAACAACAGCACTAGATCAAATGGGCAAAAAAATGTCTACAGAAGGCACCAAATAGTATCAATATCACTTGCATTG